AAATCCGGCTGAGCCAACCCAATACACTGATTCAACTAGATCAACTTAAAGTCTTTTTTTTTCTTCTCAGAAAACACAGTTTAAAGTCTAACTGTGGTTCTCAAACAAAAATGCGCCAGTGTAACAGTTTTAAGAGCTTAAGAAACTTGATATATTAGAATGGTTACCTAGATCTGCAAAATAAAAAAAAAACCCACATTATTATATAGTCACAAAATACCACCTCAATAACTAAACCAAGTAGAACAAAGAAAGTAAAAAAAAAACAAAAACAAATTCTTTTCAACAACAACAAAAAAATCAGGAATTAATTTTGATTCTGAACAACTTCAAAACTGAAACAGCAACACAGCTTCAGCATTCTCAATTTTAGGAACTTCCATTGACTATTAAGAAATCACCAATTTTTTTTCCCTTAGTCTTGCAGATATTATACGATTCAGACCCAGCTGAAACAGATCAAAACACTTGAAAAGTTTGAAAGCACTACAGAATAGGTCAGCTCTTCTCCAGTTACAAAAAGAAATTTAACAGAGCAACAAGCTTTTATAGCTGGTGCTCTTCCTCTGTAGGGTGATTACATCAGACTCCCAAAAAGTAGCTTGATAGCTTCAACTATTCAGAGTTCTTGTTTTTCCCCTGAAAAACAAATTGCAACAGAAACTCATATTAAAAATAAAAACCTTGTTACCTACCTGTCCTATTTCCTAAGTACGACCTCTTTCAGTCACGTTGGGCAAGTATGTTTCATCACAGGTTAGCAGAAGTTTCAAGGGTACTTTGAATTAGATATTGAACAACTGGAAAGAAAACTGCATACCTTTGGACAGCTCTTGCCTATCTTCTCTGCATCTTTGACTGGATCATTCGAAGAGTTTTCAGCACCAAGGACCTTTTGCTCTCTGCTTTCCCAAAAAGCTTTCTGTTGGGGACCTTCTAACCCTTTCTTCCTTGGACATCCGCAGCCTGATATAAAATAAAACCAATAAAAATATCATCAGAATGCATTTTTTACTTATTCTTCTGGAAGATATCTCTTTACCAACTAGACAGTAGAAATCCTAAAAGAAACATCTATTTTATATAAAGATATTCAGGCTACTGTGCCATCCATGTAAAGCATTCCAAGGCTACACACAACTCCGGTATACACATTATCTTGGTGTGATCTGTTTCAGCTTATCCAACTGTACTCCAGATTTTGCCCCCAAAATGGAGTGATGATTTCAAATCTTGCAGTACAGGAGAGAGTCACAGTAAAATAGATGCAATTCTTCTTTTCCCTCAGAGCCAGAAAATCATTATCTCACTGCATCCTACCCAACAGCTACCACCAATGCACTACTCTGATTCGCAGTCTGCATTCCCTTTTGCTTCCCAGCACTTTCCCCAACCAACTTCTCAAACACAGACTTACTTATGAAAATAGGGAGCTCAGCAAAGACATCCTAAGCAGGTAACATAGCTGTAAATCATCAGAATAGTTTAAAAGGGATATGAGGAACAGTCCAGAAAAGAACTGTGCCTGTTCTAACAAAATGTCTGGATTCTCATTGCTTTGAAAGTTAAAGCTACTGTCACAGATATCCTGAATAATAACTTTCTCTGAGGAAGTGTATATTGCAAAATTGCTTTATATGTCAAATACTTTCCACACACTCAGTAACTGCTACCCACTAGTACATGCCCACAGAGCATTTCACCTGTTGGTGATTCTGAATTACACGTACTTATAAACCAACAGTTATGACAGTGGAAGGGCTTAAAAAGTCAGTAACCATTAAAAACAGAACAAATTCTGAAGAACTGTTGCAATTGCACTAAGATATCAACAGCTTGTGTTTACAGATCTTCTATTCCAATTCCACTGTAGATGTAATGGGGACAACGTGGCTTAAGTACTCTAACTGGTACATTTTAAATTTCTTTTTGCATGACCTTCTAACAGCAATTACATTAGATCAAGGAAGGGAAAAGCACAGTTAACAGACTTAGCAATGAGTTAATTCAACCATGAGTAAAGAAACTCATTGAGTTCAACTTTTGAATATAATTGGGTAATAAATAAGCAGCTGTTGTTTTTAGAAAATACAAGAAATGTACTGAGCAAGTAACAGTTTTCTAACATGTTTTTAGAACCAGCTGTTAGAGCCATGTTCACTTAGGTTTATAAGCAAGCCACAATCAAGATTGCTTAATTCTTTAAGGCAAAAGTGGTCTTTTTTCAGAGCACCACTAAGCACTGAGACTTGATCTCTAAGTACGGATGCAAGTGCTCTGATAATATACACGAATACCCTAAACAAATTTTTAAAAAATCAGTTCTTTCTCTTTGATAATTATTTGTATGATCTTGCTACCACAACAGGGAGGACTCGGTTTCAAACAAAAACAAAACCAGTTTTTTGTGCACATCTTCCTACAAAAAATATCCAATCCTTTGCAAAATAATCCAAACTCAAAACGCAACTTTTCTTTCAGAGCTGATTTCACAGTGAACATAGCAGGGACAGAGAAACAGTCTGCAGTATGACTGAGTCCTAATCCTAACCATTAACTAGTTACTCTCCAACTATTAAATGTCCTTCATATCAACTTCAAACATTAAGGTAAGTAAATAGGAAAAAACCCCAAACCTTAAACTTCTATCAATTTTTAAGACCCCTAAAGAAAATTTCCTCTTGAAGAATTTGTGCACCAATTACTGTTTGCAAAATTAAAAACCAGCCTTGCAGTGGGACAGCAAAAAAACCCTAGTAAATAAATCACATGCTCTGTATTGGGAATGCTATCTCCTCTCCAATTGTTTGAAACGCATCAGGCTGAAAGCTGCTGCACCAAATAAGTAACAAGTCCAGAACGGTCGTCCTGAAATTAACTTTTAATTTTTTCTTACCTAGCCGTCAAACACAAATTTACAACCCAATCTCATTGTGAATACAACAAAGCTTCCCTTTGTTCTTCATTATGCACTATATGACTCGCGCTAAAAAAAACCCTCCAAAACTCCAAACAAAAAGTAACCCATGAGGGATTGATGTGTAGGACCTCACTGCCAACATTCAAAACCTTGAATAATTCAGCAAATAAAAAGCTCATGAAAAGCCACCCACTGTGCCCTCTAGCGAAAGCCAGCATTCCAGGTTCTGCAGTTAAGTCAGGCTGTGGGGCAGAAGCAGCACCAGGAGCAGCAACGGGCAATCTCCTGCTGCCCAGCAGAACCATCCTCATTCCTTCCGGCTCTGTACTACGGTGAAAGCAGGCAGCTGGCCAGAAGAAACATCTTATCTTGACGAATGATAACTTGCCAGTCTGAGCATTCCTTATTTTCTAAATAAAACATTCCAACACGCTACTGTATAAAATCCAGCCCTGAAGAGAAAACACAGCTGTAGGTCTCCATACACTAAAGATTTACAAGTCCAACAGCCCTGGTTCCTTCCAAACCAAGAACTTAATTTAGACAAAAAAGCAGCAAACATTTTTCCAGTATCTACACACTGTCTGCTTCCCAAAGTTGCATTTATACTCTTTCAGGAATAAGAATCCAAGAGGCAACAGAACATGACCATCTTTCAAGAAGCAGCAGAAAGTATCTGAATAGGAGACAATATCACCCACTGAGACATGAGTAAGACCTACAGAAGGCAGCAAAAATTATGTAGTATCAGAGGACAAAGCACTGGAAAGAAATGAACTGAAATACCACTTAATTTATTATACACAAGGTATGAAGCAAATTAAAGCTTGTACAAGCATGTGGGTGGCTGATGAGCTTAATAAGTGGTGTTGAAGATTAAATGACTTTTTTAATATACATTACTACTTAAAAAGTGCTACCCTGCTTTCACTTTTTGCTGTCATAAAGTGCTCTCAAGGTTTTTGGGGAATAAACAAGTGAATGGCCAGAGAGTAATTTTTAAAATTGCTCAAACAAATGAAAGTATGTGTGACATTAAGAGTTGGATGGAGCAGCTATACTGTAAAGCACTATAATGGAGGAAGAACCCACACCATGTATCCCCAAGCCAGAGCATAATGAGAAGCTGAATGCTATACACCCTAAAAGAACAAAACAAAAAGCCTGTTGTCTGTCTCTCTATTAGAAGTGGGATTAAAATGAGCACTGTGCTTTTTCGTGGGGCAGAGGCTCATTCTTTAAGTTGTAGTAAGCTATAAAGATAGAGAGCAGAGCATACCCAGAATTATAGCCATGGCTGTGCTCTTAATTAAACAGTAGTTTAGAAAAGGAGTAGGGTGTGCTCCAAGGGACAACTCAGTGATATAAGCCTCCCACTGCTGAATGGAAACCAACACCTGAGCTAGAGAATGCGGGGCATCTTTCAGATAACTAAATTTCAGTCCAGTGCTCGTAGCAATTTACAACGATTTAAGAGACCAACTGCTTCAACCTACATTAGAAAGAAAGAAAAAAATTAAACTGAACGTGCTATGCTCGTAATAGGCAGGCAGCGGCAAAGATCTGGATGGTAGTTGGAATGTCTGCATCAACAGTAAATAACCCATCTTAATAGTCAAGGAAACGCTTGCTAGCCTCTTTGCTCAATTATAAATCCAGAAAGAAACTGGAAACATTTATGGGGATACTATTCTTCTTTTGAGTCTTGTCTATTCTACAGGAACTTTATACAATGGAAGTAACTCCATGAACGTGGGAACTAATGAAACTCAGCTATCAAAGGCTGGGGTAACTCAGTGGCTTTTTACCTGGCATATATTACCACTGCAAGAGGAAGTTTAGGCCTTTAATGCACGGGGCGGGGGGGAGGGCAGAAAAAAACAAACCAACAAAAAAAAAACCACAACCACAAAACCCCACAATAAAAAACCCCCACAAAATAAAAACATATAAAGAATGTAACAAATGCTTCACTTGAGAGTTGTATAATATTTGATACTTGGTCATCTATGTGGCTGAGAAATTTGGGGTTCTCTAACATCAAATAAGGTGCTATCCATGCCTGGAATTCTGCTCATGACAAAGGCAGGAGCAAGATCCCCATCTCATTTGAATACTTTGTTCTCAAAGAGGGTAGGGCTCACTGTTTCCCCTTTTCCTAATCTCATCTATTTTAGAAACATGGTTTCTTTAAGACTCATTGTCAAATGTAGCTGCAATTGGAAAATAGGTTCAAAATTATTAGTGGGAGTTTAGATTGGACCTTAGGAAGAAATTCTTCAGTACGAGGGCGGCAAGACTTCGGAATAAATTGCCCAGAGATGTTGTGGCTGCCCCCTCCCTGGAGGTGTTCAAGGCCAAGTTGGACGGAGCCTTGAGTATCATGATCTAGTCAAGAGGTGGTGTCCCTGCCCATGACAGGGAGGTTGGATTAGATGATCTTTAAAGTCCCTTCCAGCCTAGGCCAGTCTGTGATTCTGTGATGCTTACAAAGAATGCAATAGCATGGGCTTCTTTTACTTAGGAAACCAGAGGTGCCAGTTTGGTATTTTTTCTGATGGAATTAGAAAAATAATTTAATAATTATGCATTTATTCAAACCACCAGAAAAGTGGTATACTACCATACAGATAAAGATATTATTCCAGCAGGTATCATATAACCTTAGCAATCTCCTGTGAAAATGAGGCATACTAAAATAACTGGCTGGATTTTGTAACACACGCACTTTCAAAACGTTTCTGGACCGCCCTATATATCTTAAGCATGAGCTGAAAAAGACCACTTACATGTAAAAAGAGAATTAGTGGATAAATAAAAAACAGACATAAAATACATTTCTAGGACAAAGTTCTTCCATAGTTACTCACATACTCCATATTGCTATCAGCAGTCTCATGTCCTTAGTGGTTACATTTAGAATAAGTGTTCAAATGTTTAAACTGCTGCTCTGTCACCAGGACAGCTGACAAGTATTTTTGATTTACTGATAGACCAGGTTTTGAAATGCATCACAACAACCAAAAAAGCCACAGGTCTGAGCTCAGTGATGGGAATATTTTACCTTTTGTCACAGGAATCTGAATAGCATATGCAGACTCTAAACTTTGTAATGTAGCTTGCAAATCTGTGACCTAATTTTAAAAAGAGGAGCGAAAAACAAGAGGTAATATGAAAACATGGCTTTTTAATGCTCTGTTCACAACACACAGCTTTTATGTCTTCATATTTAAGTAATAAATTTCATCTCTAATATTTTTTACTCTTCTGATTATTGTCTCTACATTATAAACATTAACCCTAATTAACATTTTGGAAAGGTCCAGCAAAACAATGCTATAAAATACGAGCCATCCAAAATTTCTCCCAAAAGTTTTACAACTATTAAAACAATGCAGACATATAGCATACCAGGGCTCTTGCTGCACCATCAATTTTTAGCCACTGCTATCACTGCACTACTCTTCAAATTAATGTCACAATAGAGATAGCGCTTTGGCATGCCACAAAATATTCTGTTATGCTTTATCAAAAAAGTCATCACTGCAGAACGTGTACAGTTAGTAACTGGATAGGCCTTATGTATGTTCCTGAAATTTCATAGTACTGGAACTGTTCTATGTTTTGTACTCCCAGTTCAGCATAACTGTATATGGACAGCAACCTTTCCTTTTCTGTAGCACATTTTCTTTTACTTATTGAAATTTCAAACATATAATCCTGTCCTTTATAAGTAAGCCCTCAGGTGACCTGAGAAAAATTGGAGGCAGAGGAAAAGAGGAAATGAGAGATGAGGACTATTAGAAAATCCTGCAAGCATAGTGAATTCCTTTCATGTTACCCACATATAATTGATGCTACTGCTGAAATGCAATGCATTTGGGAAGGTTTTCTCTTTTTTTTCCCTTCTCTTTTTTTGAACAACCTATTGTTTACATACATGCATGATAATTTTCTGTTCTTCATCCATCCTATCTGTGCTGACAGTACTTCCTGCTAAAGAGGCAGAATATTTTGTACACCAACCTATATATCAGATAAAATTACAGAAGTAAAATACTACTCTATTATTCCACTCAAAAGAGAGAAGAACTGTCTCTGATACCTTAATGTATTTTTTCTTAAACTAGTAGGTCATTCCTGGATATATTTAGGAAAAAAAAAAAAAAATCAACAGAAATAAAATCAAAATAAGAGATTTCTAAAGGCAAAGATGGAAGCATATGAATCTGGGGGAATATCACACCTTTCCTTAAGCTGTCAACATCAAAAGTACAACAGGGTCTGTACAGTCTGAGAACTACGTTGTGGTACTGTTGCACATACTTGGTGAGATGTTAATCCTGAATGTATCATGAAGCTCAGTAAAACATTCTGCTTCAAACTATCACATAAGCGAGTTGCTTTAACAGAAATAGCCTGTGTATTTACCAAGGTAAACCCCTAAGCATTCCTTACAGTTTTGCAAGTGGTGATCACCATAATTTTACCTGCCCAACTGCTCTGTCTCTCTCCAAACTAGTTAACATTCTCTGTCTCAGTGTAGTCTGGTATTTTTCCGTCATCTGCTTCAGCACTGGTTCATATGATGCATAATGTGCCTTCAGTCTGTGAACAAAAGGAGGACAAATAATTCCTCAAAGAAGAGTTAAATCAGAGATTTGTCTGTCTAGCTTTTTCCCTCCCCAAGTGAAAGGAGGCATTTAGTATGTAATCACCCAACTGGAATGCCACAAGAAAAGAAAATAAAAATAAGCCTGGTCAATAAGAGGATTAATAGTTTGTTTAGTCATCTTGTAAAACAATCCATCCAATTTTGACCTGTTCTTAATCCCTCATACACATACTGCACATTAATTTTTGTTAATTCGTGGTTTTTTGCAGGTGAGTGATATTTCATTGAATGAAAGGGAATTACAGCTATTATCTGACTACCAACTAAGATCCTAATCTAGACAAATACAATTACTAGCTCTTTCTTCACTACACACTACATTTAGAATACTTAACCACTATTTAAGACCAACTGAAAGTCAAATATATAATCTCTGAAGAGAAACATGACACCAACACCTTCAAAAATAGTGCATTTTGCAAAAAGCTGACACATAGAAGGTAAGTCACCAAACAGTGCTCTCTTGCATTAGTGCATGTGGATCTCAAGGTTAAAGATGTATATAGCTGCTATTACACGCATTGATTGATAACAATATTGACAAAATTCTGCTAACTCTTTGAAGCTGCAGATGTAAGCTGTTATAACTCAGTACCAACAGATTAGGTTAGACTTACTTGCAACCAAATGCAGCAAGTTTCATATAGGGAGTTCAAGAAGTAAAGGGACAGAAGTACCATAACAACTACATTTTAAGAAATGGACAAAGTATCTAAACCCTGAAACCACTACATATTTATGGAAAAAGACCCATGTAAAAGAAAATCTCATTTATATTTTCAACTACTAGAAATACTCTGTATTTCTTAATGCCACATCACACCATGGAAAATATAACAAAAATCACTAGAAATCGTTTAAGAGACGTGGCAGAATAGTCAGCTGGAACTGCTATTAACCGCAACACTAACTACATGTGGCTAGCTTTACTTTAGCACTTCAAATTCCACAGTGTTATCTCACTACTGGGCAATATCTGAAGACATTATCTTTAATGCTATGTGTATAGTAATTAAACATTTTTTTACCTTTTAATGTCACAAATAAGCTTGTTTTTCTCCTGGACCACTCGCTTATGATGCATTCGATGGAAGTCCCGTTCTTTCTGCATTTTTAGAAAAGCCTCTTTTGCTTTGCTATATGTCAAAAAAAAAAAAAAAAAGAAAGAGGGAAGTATTAGTCTCCTTTTTATTGCTCATCGAGGTAATTAATTTTCAGATATGCACACACTTACTGTATCCAAGCTAGAAATTTTCGGTAGTATACCTGTGGTGGAGAACATGAACTTTTGAGGTCTTTTTGCTGCCAGCCAACGTACAAAATCACAGCTAGACTTCACCTTTCACCAGTTCCTTTAGATAGAATCCATAAGGATTCTGGCACTACAATTTTCAGAGTTGAGGTCAACCTTACTTCAAGCACAAAGGGCCTTGTGGAGGTATGTATTCAAATTATAGGCAATTAGAAAACAATACTCTTCTTGTGGGTGTAAATTGCTACAGGAAAATGTATTGCAGTACTGATTTTCTAACATTCATATCACATGTGGAGTGCCAGCGTAATGATATATGCTAGAAGGACACACACAAAAGGAGAACTGTATCTCTGCCTTGCAAATACATGCATTTAGAGAGCTTCTGGAAAAAGTTGTGCTAGAAAAGGCTCTATTCAATCATGTTTGCAGCCTGTCCCAAGCGTCCCCTGTACATGAGACAGCAGGAAGCAAAAGGAATCCATTTCAAAATTAATTGCAAACATACTGATAATCTGTTACTTTCTAAGCACATTCTACACAGAGCCATGGGACACCCTGAGATACTCTGCTCCATAAGCATAAAAGAAAACACTCTGTACATATTCCAGACACCTTCTCCTTGCCTTTACTGATATGGTTTTGGCATGAAAGATTAGGAGATGAATTGTTTAATTGCAAAAGAAGCTTGAAATTACCTTGCATAGAAATTAGATATTTGCTCTTTGCAAAAATAAAACTCATTTCCTCTCCAACAGGAATTGAAGTGTTAGGAAAATCAGTCAAGTATGTCAAAATCACAAGCCCAGGAAGAAGACCCCTAACTGCCAGCGCATCATATTTAATTGTACAGATAGTTTATACTCACCATATATGCATTTGCTATATTTATTATGTATACAAACTACCATATTTGTATGTGTATGTTAATGTTTATACATGAATTATTGCTTGTAGCAGGAACAGTTAGAAAGACCTCAAGAAGAGCACAGTGAATTAGTGCCAATAGAGATCAGTCAAAGCTGAGAAAAAAACTGGCAGGGAAATGAAAAGCAAGCAAGGCGTTCCCTGCAGTGAAAAGCCCCAAGGAGCTGTGGGCAGGCGCAGAACTTCCTGTATGCAGGGGTACAAAATCCAGAAGTTGTGAAACAGAGTAACTTAGGACATTGCTACTGGGATACAAAGTACAAATAATCTGTTCACACTCCTCTGACAAGAGGAACATTTCAGCGGTAAATGAATGGTCTCAGGACAGTTCTGTGAAACAACTCCATCCTGACATCACCCACAAAATCTGACTTGCCGTACGATCTCAAACACAAAACCTGCACCTTCAGATCACAAAACCTGCACCTTCAGAGCTAAGTCAATGGTTTTTTCTAAAAGATGTTGCTACAGCCATAAAAAGCCAATATCCATTTTGTAGAATCACAGAACGGTTTGAGTTGGAAAGGACTTAAAAGATCCTGTAGTTGCAACTCTCTTGCCTTGGGCAGGGACACCTCCCATTAGACTGGGTTGCTCAAACCCCTGTCCAGTCTGGCTTTGGACACTTCCAAGGAGATTTCTTTTAGTCAGCATAAATGCCAAAGATTCTTCATTTAAACTTTTCTCAAGCAAGTAGTTTCATAAAAACAGCAGAAGAGAACAGAGTCCAGTAAATCCAAGCACAGATTTGCAACTGTGGGTTGTGTCCTGTTCCCACTGAAATTAAGTGGATCTTTATTTCCAAGATGCTTTAAGTTGTAGCCCTAAAATTTTACCTGAAATAGAGACAGTTTTAGAAAACATATATTATCGTGCTTTTTGTCTATGTAGTTTATATAGCATTTAGCAGCAAGAATTCTAAATGTACAATATAATTAAACAGATGCATTTAAATGTGGTACACAATACTAAAAGCACCCATTTTCTGGTTTTCATGGTATGCGTGGGGATATATGTGCAGAAATGGCTAGACAGTAGCACAGAAATAGGCGATGAGCTGAAGATTTTATCGCTGGCGATATCACTAACAGTAACAATAAATATGATTTTCAGGATTGCTTTATATTTTGACTTCTAATGGGGCTGTAAACTGGCTGTGTATTTGTGAGATGCTTCCAAACATCAGGACAAAAAGACACCTGCAACACTTTAAACTTCTTAACTGATGTTTGTGAACTCAGTTACAAACCTCAGACAAAAGCTCTACACAATTTTCCTTCCAGCTACCTAATACATTCCTAAATGCTTAAAAGAACATAAAAATATCACAGCTAGAAGTCCCTATAATTAACACAGTCTTAAACCTGATATACCATTGTGTTGTCTGCCTACATGTTTAAATACAAATATAAAGACTCTTGCCGTAGGAAAGCATCAAAATATATTGGATTCAAGCTCTTTTAAATCATCAGATAGGCAGAGTTTAATGCTGCTATGAAATAATGATTACCCAGTTCAAGCAAATATTACTAGAATGGTAAATCCTTGAACGACAAATCATCACTATAGGCACTGAATTAAAATTAACCAGTCTCCTGTAAGAGTTAATTTTCAGAGATGTTATTTTCAATTTTTTCTTGCATATTGGAAAGAATATCTATGCTTCCATTAGAGAAATACTGCAGCAGACAATATTCCTTATCAATCAATCAGGCCTGAACTGTTGCGTTCAAGACAAAAGAAAGAAACACTTAAGGTAGACTATAATTACTGTCACATGGCTAACCAATATAAAAATAGTTTTGATTTCTATCCCAACATGTTTTACAGAAATCGTTTAAACAGAGATTAGTAGTGTATCTAAACCTTAAGGTAATAACTATCACTCAATATAAAAATAGTTTTGATTTCTATCCCAACATGTTTTACAGAAATCGTTTAAACAGAGATTAGTAGTTATTACCTTAAGGTTTAGATACACTATCACTAGCTTTGGAGTAAAACAGTTATGCTGATATTTATTTCTTTCAATGTATATATTCAGGGATTTTGTTACGTCTCTAGCTGCCTTCTGACATTGGTCAACCTATTAAAAATACATACTGTAAACAGGAAATGAAGCTGTGATTTTCTTTTTAAATAATGAAACATCACAGTGAAATAATCAATAACCTGCAACCAACTGTATTTGCCTACTTGCTTGCCATACAATCATGTAAATACTGTATTATAACATCCACAATACAATTAGTTAGTGTCTAGACACTGAATCTCTTTCATCAATTGTTAAACAACATTAAAGCAGGAGGTAATTGGTTTACAGTCATTTATCTTGGGCCCCCATATTGCCTAAGTCCCAAATAACATCTCTTTTCTGCAAGACAAATATCAAAAGTACCAAACTCAGAAATATCAAGTGTTAAAAAGCTTTCTTCAAATACATTTCACAGCACTGTAGCTCACAATGAAAGTTTTCTGACTAATCCACAGAGCAAAATGAGAAACATACTTTGCTCACAAATCCTTGCTTTCTAACCAGTCAAATCAGCATTTCTTCAGTGCTCTCAGGCATTCTGTTTTCAGTGTAAGCTGATGAATTACCTCTCTAAACCTGAAAACTCAAATTGTCCTCCAGGTAATTTTGACTCCTGCTGGAGTATTTGCTTTATGATAGCAAGGGTACTGACTCCAGTTATTGAATAGATGAACAAGAAAAAATGCTGTTAAGAGTCACTACTGTAAATGGATTTAGTACAGAATTTGATGATCGCAGTTTATCCAAAAGACACAAAGAAACACTGTAACTCATGGTATGTACAGGAGAAATGCTCAATTTCACCCACTACTCCAGAAACAAAATAACTGAAACAAATGTCAAAGAAGTGCTGAACTTTTAACATCAGTATCAAGGAAAACTTTGAAAGCTATCTGAAATGAAAAGGCTGAAAAATGAAGTAGTGACCATTAGAAAAAAAGCGTGTTTCACATGTACATTTAGTCCATTTTACTATTAGCAGAAAGAATATGAAAATAAAGCTCTCCCTTCAAGTGAAGAAAGGAGGACCAATTTTAATAATGTTTTAGGATTAATTTTCTCAGTGCTTTAACAAGTTGCATGCAGATTAAGTGCAGTACCTAACAGTAAATGCCAACGAACAGAATTTACCCACTTCTGATCTGTGTCACGTGACATGACTCATTTAGATTTCCTCAAACACTAGAATGTAAAAAAGCAGGGTACAGTTTCAGTTCATCAATTTATTTACTTTTTTAGCACAGTTCACTTAAGTGTGCATTGTGAGTTTTATTTAACAGGAACTGTTAGGAACCTAGCATTTTGGCAATGTCTCTTGCCTCTCCTGCTTTCTTCCTGTTGCACATTATCATGTCATGTTTCAGCCTATTAACTAGACATCTGCTACAAAAAATAAATTCTGGCACCCTGCAGAGTATATATGGGAAAAAAACAACTCATGGGAAAAAAACAACTCATTTGTGACCACAGTGAAACGGTTTTGAGCTTTATATTCTTAAACAATCATGTAGCAATGCAACAAACCCATGAAAACTCTTATAAAACCATAATCCACTCAGATTACCTTGTTACAGCTTGTTCTGCTTCATACAAGGAGCAAAAAAAGAAAAAAGGTTGGGGGGGCAAAAGGAAGGCCTATTAAAATTACTACTGACAAAAATAAATTTCAGAAGGGCCAAATTTTGTCATTCCTTCTTTTACTATGCATTTCTGCTTCTTAATCTCCCACTCGAACGAGAAACACAATCCTGAACTATCCATCATCTGAAGACGCTGCAGATTAAAATTAACAATTTTTTTCTAAATGGTCCATCTCTCAGTGCAACAGTATAGTTGACCACACAATATATGACTTGATTATTAAAGCTGTTAACTATTACTTAAGACAATGGCCAATTTATTAATTTAAAATGTAATAAGTCATTATCATTGGAAAATAATTCATCATTATTATCAGCTGCAATGATTACTTAAGATCTGAACAGCTATTTTTCATATAAAGGAACAACCTAAATGAAAATCAGAAGCTTGAGCAATCTTGAGAAAAATCAAAGAGGAGGAGTTAACATCTTCTACAGCTCCATATTTTAAAACTATGCACTGGAAAAACTGAAGTGAGTGCATTATTAGGTCTCAGGGTAAATTCTCAATGAACACATACATGTGCAGAGATACTACGTTTCAGAAAAGACTATATGATGTGTAATTCATTATTGCATCTCTCCATTATAAGGTTAAATATTTTAAGTTACTTAGAATTGAAATACTTTAGAATTAACTTTTAGAATTTTAGAATTTTTTAGACTTTTAGAATCAACTACTACAATGTGCACACAAGTACAACAAGTGATAGCAGCTCACACTGACATACCATTTACCATTAGGGTCAGGGTGATAGATTTTTTTTTTTTTTTCAATTTAAAAAAAGCAGAATAAACGTATAGTGATTTTTTCCTGTGTTGATGTTTTGCGGTAGCTTTATAGTACTGTATTTCAATACAAAATGCACATAATCATTTACTTCTTGGTTCTACACATTATACGCTCATAATTCTTTGAAGTAATTTGTTGTGATTACTGCATATAGAAAATTATTTTCCATAGCCTAGTAAATATGAATAAAAGAAATTAAGATTTAGGTTTCTAATAGAGCTCAGAGAAACTTGAACTTTAATTACAAATGTCACCTAGAAGTAAAATATGTGCAGCCAGCATAACAAACAGGAACTTATTATTTCCATTAAGTACTTTACTTTATCTGGCTGTTTCCTACTGTATATCAAAGTTTCATTAAGACCAAATAACATACTTTGCAGCAAGTTTATAGTTTTCCAGATCTTTCTTCAAACGCATAATTTCAGCCTCAAGTTGCTGTTTGTGAGTATACACAGTTGGAACCAATTCAGTATCTTTGGCTGTGAACACACCTCTCTGTACGAGTTCATACCTAATAAAAAAGAAACAGAGAGATATTTTATTCAGGGTTTCCTTCTTCTAACTTCACTGATGTCTCCTTTCTCAGGCTCCACCTGACTTCATTTACCTGAACTACAACCACAAGGATATTTACCATTTCAAGGTACTTACCTTTTATGATCACTAATGATTAGCAAGAGTACTATCCTGCCCCACTGTGTTCCACTTCACTGCTTTTCATTCTAAAATAATATTATTGTTCAGAGTAGTCAAAAAGACATATCATGTATAACACAGTACTTCAATATAAACAATTGTTCTTTTCTATCTTTTCTTCCAAATAGCTTAAGTATAAAACAGAAAAATTCTTATATACGCAGATTTTTTTTTATGAAGACTCAAATAAGACAACAAAGCTGAAGATAACCTGGATGAATGATCCTATGAGCTATCATCAGCATGGAATACAGAGCTCACCTAGGGAAATTTCGTCATTCCTTCCTGTTTACTTATGTTGCCCTGTCCTTATTTAAAATAAATAAATATTGGTAAATATAATTATCAGCCCCCAAGAAAACATGATGCAGAAGTCTGAAGGCTGCTTAATTTAAATACTTGTATAGGCTATTTTGCACTTTGAGAAGTAAAATAGAATCTGGAGCAGCATGTAATGTTGTGTGGCAACCTAGGAATCTCTGTGGCCCCTGTCAATAAGATCTGCTGAGTCTTCTGGTTTTTAGGACTATTAATCTTTTGGTAGCATGTCGGTGAAAGCTAAAAATACTCTAACAGTCAGTAAAAAGGACATAGGCATTGACACTAGTCATTTTAGGTTTAATTTAAAGGCATTCAAATACAAAGCAGCTGAAAGCACCTTAGTATCTTCTACACAAAAAAAAGATGTCAGAAAGGATTCAGAAAAACTAGAACTGATTAAAAAAAAAGTGACCGTCACTACACAAAGTAAATTCTTCTGCAGGATCATGCGTGTTCAGGAACAACTATAAGCTATCACTATTTGTCATAGTATTTGAAAAGATACCAGGATTCAAGTCTACGTGTACAAGCGTAAGATGTTTCCATGCAAATAGATATTGCAGAGGTGATTCCAGAATCCAGTACATGCATACACTAAACATCTATTTCTTCATCTATTTCTTCATCTACTTCTGTACTGGAAGACAGAAGAGCAAGACCTTTAGTTGGCACAAACTTTTGTACACCACTGAGAAGACAAAAACATCAGAAGAAAGAAGCTCAGTTGTTCATTTCTTCCTTTTTTTTCCTCAGATAAACAGGATCTGATGAGCAGGTACTATTCCTATAGGAAATAACTGCAAATAGGGGCACTTCTCATTGCTGATGATCACAACCCTACATACTTCTTTTTTGTCAGAATAACATCTCCACCAAAGGCCCTAATTGCACCTCATGAAACCCAAACTTCTGCAAAAAGACACATCAGACATGGATAATTGATGAACTTAGCCTCCAGCAGAGCTAACAACCCTGAAAGACCATTTTAATGAAATACAATTAAGACCAATAAATTCACTATGCCCTTGTCTAAGAACACTCCTGAAAATGAAGGCTTTTGTGCATGTGGCAGAAATGGAATAGAAAACCACACAACAAAATTGCATTGTGAAATCTCATTATCTTTCATCAATCCAGTCCCGTAAAATTTACAGAACTCCTACATAGCTAGCTGACTGCCAAATAGCTACTGTTCTCCCTTCTTTCCCTTACAGAAGGGAACGATGATGCTAATTAAATTAGTTAGTTCCATGCACACACAGCTATTTTTCTAAGCTTCTCAGAACAACTGACTTATTAATCTTGAATCACTATTTAAAATTAACTAAGAATTTGGAAACCTAAGGAACAGATGGTCAACTATGATTTTATGATCAAAGCCCAATGCAGACTGATTAAAAATAACATATTATTACTATACACAGGTGAAATTAAGTTTCCAAGAGTTCTGAAGGAATCAAGATGCAGAAAGGCTCTGCAATAAACTAACCAATATGTAGCTCACAATAATCCTTTACTAAGAACTAACTTGCTTAGACACACATTCAGGGATTAAAATATCAAGTTTTAGCTTCTTTAAGAACCTCTTACAGAAAACTGTAATTCCAATTGATAATATCCTTAAACAGTTTCAACAGAAGGCTAAGAAAGAAATGAGCACAGAAAAATAAATCACCTTTTTACTCCACCGTACTGCTCCAATCTATTATGGCATATAAGTGGAAAATTTATATGATTGTGTTATGCTTGCTATGTAAGCAGAAAAGCATGTCCACATGGCTTTTTGTAAATGAAACCTGAGGTTACTTCACTTGTGTTCTGAGCTAAAATCTGAATGGTTCAGCGTGATACTGTCCTAGAAGTGATAACCCTCATTCCTCTCAAATTATGAGCTCAGAGCACAACATACATTAATGGGACCATATGATTTCCAGACCAAAGCAGACACAGAGCAGAGGAAACTTAGGCCTGCCCGAAATAAACAGATTGCTTCTGCTGTCTTCAGGGAGCTGCAGCGTAGAGAATTGCTACCTATACCCATTTTCTTCATTCTACAAAGATGAATTGTTTTGCAATGAGTCTGCCTTTAAGCTCAGAGAAGATACAGTAGCCTTGTAGCATATGCTCTGTTATGCCCAACCCAGGCAATCTTTGCAAGGCGTGTGCTTGGTCACATAAGTTCACTCACCATTTTAACTACATCAAATAGAAAAGAGCTCACAAATCATGTTTCCCTAACAAGTCTCTCCATTTACTCCCAAAACAAGATGTTGCCAGGTCTCTAGGAACACTTAGTTATTACCAGGCCAGCAAGCGTACTAACTAACCATGGTGAAGGCTCCATGCATCCCTGTGAACAGCACACGATTCACTGCTCAGCAGACCTGCAACACAGCATGCTGCCAGCAGCAGGGAGCTCTCTGGAATTAGCAGGTACAAACTGTCAGGTGCATGAATTTAGTTGATCAGCCCTTGCAATTCATACTCCAAAGCTGTCAATCCAGTATCTTTAATAAGCAACAAAAGCACTATAAAGGCTTGTGCACCAAAGGAATAGAAAATTTAATAGTAAATTAGATATTCTAAAAATAACGTAAGTCTAATTTTCAGTTCCTTAAAGTATAACTAGAAGAAAAAAGTGTATGTGCAAAAAAAAAAATTATCACACTTGCAGTGATTATTTGTTACATCATACAAAATAGGGGGTTTGGCTTAATAAAACATAGCCAAATAACATTTTATACACCTGGATAGAATAACAATGTTTTCTGTAACTCTGAAATAAACACAGCTCATTTGGTCCGATTTAAGTGACCTTTAGATCTCAGACAGACAATTATTTCAAAGCAAGTCTTTTGATAAATTTTCTCTACATTAATTAATTTCTCATTTTCAATTCCATTAGTACTTGATCACCACAGCATGAGAGCGAAAGCGTCGTCCCAATACATAATGAGGAACCTGAGTACACTAATCTGCTCTCACTTTCATTAATATTGTAAATTATCTATTTCAAACCAACATGAAACATTACGAAATAAGGTATTAATGCAGAGAAAGTCTCAATACAGGAAGATTAGATCCTGACATGCTGAGCTCATTTGTAATGATACTGAAATTAAAAATATTACTTAGAGGAAAAAAAAATATATGTATAGCTAAGGATTTACAAGATAGGGCCTTCTAAGACCTGTACTTTCTCTGTTAAAAAGTAATTTGAATTTTGCCATTGATATAAATTCAGACTTTAAGTGCTTCAAAGAACACTGTAGTTTCACGAAAAGGTCGCTATTTATATCTGTCTAGTATTAATTATCTTTTAGCATAAAAACTGTTAAACTTCAAACCTAATGCTATTCCTATCAGCTCTTTTGTTGAAAAAGAATACAGAATTATAGTGCTCCTTCTCTAAGGAACCATTTAAGCCACATTGCTATGCTATCAAAAAGCAGATCATTATTAATTCCAAAAGCAACATCTGATTGGTGAGCTCTACACTAGCAAGACCAAAGCCTTGAAAGTGACAGTAATGATTCCCCATTAAAGAATATTTATAAGAAATTTTAAAGCTTTGAGGCTTTTGTAAGAGAAAATAAGATGCTTCTAACTTTTCAGATTTACTGATTTTCAAATTAAACAATTTCAAAAGATCTTATTTAAAAAAAATAAATCTCTGAACCCCTCAGGTTTAAAGACTGACTACAAGGTAATTCAGAGAGGCATTTCCACTTCTCAGAACCCTTCCAATATAACTTGCAGATTCAAAGCAAGCTTGTAAGGGAAAGCATTTCAACAGAACTTTACAAGTGTCACCTTTTTCTCCAAAATAATGCAGCTCTCCTCTCAAGCAGCGTTCCTGGCACATCATTCTTAATCAATATTTTAAAAGTATATAAGCTCTATGATTCCATATATGAAGAGAGTGATGGAGGTAGTGGAGTGTTTAGACAAAGCTGCACATTTAAACTTCTGCAGAAAGTACAGACAAACCCCCTACAACCTATAAAGCTGAAAAAAAAAAGCAACAGCTCAAGAGTTCACTCTTCTGATTACTAGATGAATTAAATTTTGAAAAGAAAAAAAAACAAACCAACCATATTAATTGAGGTACCAAAAATTATCAAGTATCAAAAATTTTGATTATTTTACTTAAAATACAAGGTAGCTAACGTCCAAATCCACCCAAACAACCAAGGTGCAAAAACTATACCATAACTACAAAATACTCAGTTCTTAAGCGAGCACCCATGCTCTAGAAACTAAGACACATGATTTCACAGCACTCCTGAAGTACAACGCTGATCATTTTGCACGGGACTCACTTCATCCAAAGATGACTTCTGTACTTTAGCTGGTTTTAGTTTTCATCGGTAGTCAATGGAGAACAGAATATACTTGAAAAAAATGTAATTGAATTCATTTAGTCTTAAAGGAGATGACTTAACTCAGATAAGCTGCATTCTGAAAATTACCATTTCACTGGTCACAAAAGAGGCCTCAGGTGACCACTTTAGGCTTGTAAATGTCTAGAGTTAGGTGAGATGCACAAAGTCATCCAAAGGTACCTCTTCAGGAGTTCCCTGCAGTCAGCTTTCTTGTAACTCTGTCCTTAAGGCAATGCTTTACATCCTTATCCTCAACATGAATACACTTATGTAGTAAAACACTAAGTATTTAAGAATTACTTGCACTCTGAAGAATTTTCTGGGCATATATACAGAAGTACTGGAATACTTGAATCCTGAGCATCTAGTTCCTAACTCTCAAAATAACACAGTCACTCAGAATATTTTACCATTCGGATTGAAAGCAGTCAAGGGTTCTGGACATTCCCAATCTGACCAGGAAATTGCAGAAGAAGTCATCCATTGTTTCAGGTATTTCAGACACTGATTTCTCAGAAGTCAAGGCTGATTGCAAAGCCTGAAATTAAATTTTGATAAATGTTATTAAACCTAGAAGGGAAATGTTAATTATCACACTTTCTATTTCTTAAGTCATCTAAAGTCACAGATCTACTGGAGTACAGCTGAATGGTTCCCTTGTCTTTACTGATCAGATCTGTAATCAATGATCCTTCTAATGTCAAGGTCTGTGAAAGAGTATACAGAAATAACTCAAAAATCACCTAATTTAAGCAAGTATTCTGAACTTGACATAATCTGACAAGGACTTAGAACTATTTAAGTTGATCGATGATCTTCTGTCACTGACCAGAGAGAAAATGTTAGTTCTCATACTCCTGCATCCTTCAGCAACCTTCAAAACTATTGATGAGAAAAATCAGAACTTCATCTAATGAATACGGCAAAAGTCCGAGGTAATGGTTAAACAGCTTATCTTCTTTTTGTAACAATGTGTGCAACAGAGAGACGGAAAGAACTGCATCTCCATTACAAGATCTCTTACGAAGTCTCATGGAGATCACTCCTCCTGTTTGTTCTCAACATGCAAACACTGAATGAAGCTGCCAGACAACACAGCCACGAGTGGTGGCAGAAGGCAGACAGTGCACCTTGGGTTCACATGCAGCTCCTCCAGCGCCACGAAGACAGATAGCTCTTCAGGTAAGATGAGCTCATGGGTCAAGCACACATGCTAAAAGCAGCATCAGAACAAAACAGAACAAGCCTACCACTACAGGGAAAAAGTAAAAATAAAAATCCCTTTCACAGCTGTCTGTTGCAAAGCAAGTTTCCTTCCTTCACCCAGCCCCACTCAGTGTGCAGATTGATGCTAAGCTCTCTAGGAGAGATTTCAAGACGCAATTTTGTATGAAAAGAGTAAAATACGACCCTGTCTATCCCCTCCTCTCAAAGGCATGTAAAGATAACCAGACAAGAGAGAGACCGCCACAATCTGGCAGCCAAACAGGTGGCCTTAATTCCTTCAGACTTGAAATGGATTAGAGCAACTTGACATCCCTAAGTATGAGGCTATCAGCATTTGGGAACTCCACGTGGGCACACTGCTAAGGCAGACTTGCTCAGCAGTGGGGGCTATGATCTAAGATAAGATATGGCCCTGCACATGCCTGCCTCCTACTGACAGGATTACAGAACAAACATGGGCTCCACAACTAACACAGTGTGCTCTGGAAAGAAACTCAAGATCCTATGATAACATGTGCTACATATTACTAAAAGAAAAAAAAAAACAACATTGTAGAGATGAGAAGCAAAAAAAACCAGCTTTCACACATTCCTACCTTCTTTTCTTCGTTTCAACACTAACAAAATAAAGAAAAAAAATCCAGTGAGATATTCATCAAGACATGCTAAAGGCTGTGACTACAAATAATTTCCTCCACTGAAAAAAAACAAAACACTGTAGGCCAGGGATTTCTGATAACGCCATTCATTTATGGCTTATTCATGTCCTTAGTGGAAGCTCTTATCAATATGACTGCATAAATTACCTAGAGATAAAGGCATTTTTCTTGATAAAATAAAAACACTGGAAAAACCTCATAGCTATTTTGTGCAAAACAGAAAATGCTGCGTTTAATCCAAGCAACCTGCCTAATATAAGCAGAAAGAACCACACACAAATGATCAAGGCCATGTAACACATTATGAATAATATAATATGCCAACTGCAATGTAATATTTAGTGTATTTTCATTACTAGAGATACAGTACATCAGACAGGTCTATTTTCTAATTGTGGTAATACAAGAAGCAAAGAGTTTGCAGACATGCAGCTGCATCACTTTTCTTGCTTCTTTTCTTTCCTTATTCTAAGTGAGGCAAATGTCTAATACTGTTGCCTGTAGTTTCCCAAACACATCTATAAAGTCAGTCTTCGGAAGAAATGACACAGCTTGATTCGCTTAATAAAGGGAAATATGATAGGAATTCATTTCATGTGTGCAGAAGAGAATTTATTAGCTAGACACGAGCACTGAGAATCATTTTAGAAACTAAAGCTTGAACGGTGAACAACATAGGAGAAAAGGAATGCAGTCTAACAGGCACGGTATTGAGATGGGATCTCTGGAAACCAGAATTAAATTCCTAGCTCTTCTGCAGACTTTGTGAGTGGTTCTAGGCTAACGATTTGAATTTATCTTAACCTTGAATGCCTATCTATAGAATGGCATAACAGTATTTTTTTTCTTGCATATATTTACCTTTTTTAAAATGAGGAAAATACAACTAATGTTGTGCAAACAGACACCCTAAAGAAGATGTATAGATAAAACCCCATCTTAATAAAGGATTCTGAGTACTAAATAAAAATAAACTAAATATTTTTTTGTCACATATTTACTTTTGAATTAAAATCTTCAAAACATTTTGAGTATAAGGACTGCAAATACAGCCAGTAAAACATAATAACTTCTACGAGCTTAACCTTAAGGACTTCCATAACGCAAAAATTTCTGTCCAATGAAGAAAGATTACCACCAAATAAATTAATAATTTCTCTGGAAATAGAATGAGATGCTCTTGCAAAACTTATAAAACTAAAAAAGAATAACAAATGCAATTCAAAGACTTTTAACATAATCAAACAAATTACAAATCAAACCTACATAAAATATAAGGTTAATTAGGGGCAATGTGACTTCAGTGTATTATCTGGGATACTGAGAAAACAAAGATCCTAGAACGGAAGTGCAAAAGCTGTAACTAGTGAAAGAAGTATTTCAGACAGGTTTGTGTGTGTGTGGCTTTCCAGAAGTTCTGTATCCTTTTCCTAGGGTCCCTATCAGCTGAAGATTTTCTTTCTGTTACTTGTGTATAAAAATAATTTACATTAATTTACGTTTCAAAACAAGGACAATTAAAAAAAAAGAAAAGAAAAATCATGAATCGTGATGGAAAAGGACAATGACTAGAATGGGAAACGGTAGGCAGATCACTGCTATGCAAAGCAGGTGTTGCCCAGCAGAGCTGTATTTTCAAACAGCTGCCATTTTACCACAAGACTACGGGGAAATTATATTTAGGGATTGGAGTTTCATCACCCTCATTTCCTTGCTGGGATCCAAACAGAAACATGAACTGTGACTGTTGAGGGAGCCTCACCAAACCTTCAAGACCAGTAGCTACACTGCATGCACGCACAGATGCAGGACGTGCTTCAATATCCCCTACAGGTTTAACTCCTACACACCAATTCTATTTAACAGGTGAATAGCACCATCTCTCATTTGCTTATGTTTGCTCTTCTCCATTGGGTAATTAGTGCAAATTACTTTGGAAGAAAGTTTGAAAATAAGCATTCTTCTTTGATTTTCCTGGTTATACTTGACCTTTTTAGTGAAGTGTAAAAGACGTTGCAGCTACTCAGTTTAGAAACTGTGCATATTTATATCATCCGCATTTGGCAAATCACTTAAATATTTCTGGATGATCGCTTTATCTGTGCCTTCTCCGTATAATCTGTTTTCTTTAATGAAAAGATTCGCACCTCGTATTGAAATGCAGTCTTTAATATGGAATTAGCTACAAGTTACTATGAACAACAAATACTCACAATCACTTAAAGTTGTTTATCACTGTGTAGCTATTCCAGGCTGTTACCTAATTTAACCTGTTTTAGCCAAGATTACAAGCTAGTAATTGAAATGTACCAATTATTTATCACATGAAGAACACAGCCTTCTACTCTGCCTCTTAGCTCAGAGTTCTGGATATTGATTTAATATTAATTCACAGGAAACAGTGCTTCTTACTTGGGTCACCAACAGTGTTTGCTGCAGTACTTGGTTTTTTCAGTGAGCTAGCATCAAACAATCTCATCACTGAGCCTCACAAAATACACAGTGTATCCTTATGAAAGCTGTCAAGGAACTAGCAAGCCTATTAAAATATTTTTCTATTCATGTCTTTCTGCCTAAAAGCTGAAAATACTATTTCAGTTTCAGAAGTATGGAAAGAATGAGCCTTCAAACAGTGAATTAAGAAGAGAAGGCATAAGCACAAAATCAAAAAGAATTTGAGTTCATCTTTAAGGAAATACTTTCTTCATTTTGATTAAATGGGATAGATACTAGCATACTGTTCCCTAAAACTCCAAGTTGATCAATAAAGAGGTAAAAGATTATTTAAATACAGCACTGTCTAAAGATCAATATCAAAATATTCTTCCTTCTTTCACTTTTGATGTAAAAATCAACTCACACAGTAAACCAGATAGGACTGAAGTCATCCCTAAAGACAACATTAAGAATTTCCACTTCTTGGTTAATATTAAGCACGTTCAGTCTTAACTTTTGTGTTCCTTCCCTTAATTTTCAGGCATATTCATTTTCAACACACCTAAGACTCAGTATCATATCAAACATTCAAAGTTTGATCTAAAAAACAAAACTGATCTGTTGATATGCACTAGTGCAGAAGAAAATGCACATTTCCCCCCGTTTTGATGTTAAGAATCTATCATATAATTTTATCTTTTCATTAGTAATTATTTCCTTCTGCAAAACAAGAACTGTAACAACAGCTTCCTGATGATGCTCTAAGATAGTGGTGATATTAGAAACACAGCAGGAAAAAAAGCTCTTTTCCATTAGATTGTTATAAGCAAGTAAATTCAGGTAAATTGTATTTTGGAAAATACAGTGTAACAATCCCATTGCGTAACTTTAAACTATTACACAAACTGTAAATGTAAGAAGTGTCAAAAATTAATGGCATGGAATGATTTAATTAATAATTTGATTTCAGATGGTGTAACAGTTGATTCTATATTTTGAATATATGAATAATCTTTTCTCACAAAGTACTCTAGTACAAGACTCTGCTGGTCTTAAGCAAACGCACTTTCTTTCCTGTGTCAGGAATCACATTCAGTCTCCTTCAGTCTACTCAGCTGGAGAAACAAACCCTAAGATACTGATGCACCATAGTAACATTAATATATTTTAAATGTACACTGTTATATGTATGTGCAATGTCAGGTTGTTTATAGAACATAAAATGAACAAAAGTTACAGGAAAATGAAACCCAAGAAATTTGGCTTTTCCACTGTGGCATATGTCAACCTCTAGAGTCTTCTAAAAATAAGAGAAAATCCTTTCCACACAAATATTTCATAACTAAAATAAATGATGATGTGTAAATTTTAAGCCAGTAATGCTAACCGAATTACAGACAGAGCCTTAGAATGTTTAGGAAGTTCTTACTAAAATTCGGGCATCTTCAGCCTGCTCTTGTACAGTCTGCAAAGCCTTTGACAGATCCTCATCATCTTCCTGAAGACTAAATCCATCATCTGCTGAAATCTAAATGAAATTATTTAAAGTTAGGTATCAACATATTTTTTATATTTGTCTTTCAGAATACAACTACTGAAAACAATCCCGTTCTTGTTAAAACAATATTTTGCGACAGAACTTGTATTTTTGAAATATTCATTATAATAAACTGAAACATCTAAATAGAAATACCTGTATCTTTGGAAAAGTATTTAATGTTCAAAAAAAAGTAAAAAATACCAACTGACACTAAATCCTCCCTTGAAAATTAAAGATATGCCTAGTATAATTGCACTTTGCAAAAGGAGATTCGTGTCATTTGTCCTAAAATATTTTTGTGACTGATGAAGTAAAACAAAAAAAACCACAAACATGAACGCTACAAATATCAGAAGATTATCAATTTAGTACATTACCTCTTCATACTCATAATCATCTGAAGAGTCATCTGTGATCGTAAATTCTGCAGATTTTGTTAAGGCCAAGACAGTTGATGCATGTGAAGAGTTCCAACTTAAAAAATATATCATAAACCAACTATCTATAACTCCGTTACTGCCACCTTTGCTCTGGTTCCTTTTAACACGAGTTCACACTTCCAAGGCTTCCTTCAGCCTTTAGATGAACAAGGCCAACTTCAGTTAAAACTTTGTCCACAGAGTCAGAATTTAGATCCAAAGTTCTTATAGCAGGTTTACATACCATTAAGATTTGCCTCATCAGATCTGATAAAATTAGAAGAATTGTTCTGAACTAAATAGCAGCTAAATTCTGCTCTCACCCAATCGTCAGTTTTTCATGGGGGTCCTGCTGCACTGAGGTGTCCACAGACTTTATGCTTCTAAGCATAACTGGGTTGGTGCTCTCAGAGAATGGCATTTTTTAATCAAATTCAGATGTACAAGTTCAAAAATGAACATTCAAAATCAAACACAGGATACCAGAAGACCATTTACTGAAGCTGATACAAATGCTTTAATAATTACATCACAGCAACAATAAAAAGACACCAAACTTTCAAAATGTGAACATTTATTTGGAAATTATCTACAGTTCCTCCAAATGCTCTAGACGCAAACTTGCCATTAAGAATGCTACAAATGGTGTAAAATTAAACCCAAATAAATGTTTTTCATTCACTAGCCTCATAGTCCTTGAAAATATATTGAAAATATATTGAAAATGTTCTCAGAAGGATGTTCCGTTGACAGTTTCCCTCGGAAATCAGTTAGCCTACAAATGACCCATGTAAGTAAAAACAAAATTAACTTCCAAAGAGGAGAAGAGGTGGCAATTCATCAGTTCACACACACAGCTGGGAGTGGGGGGGGCAGAGGGGCACAGAAAAAAAGAAAAAAAGGCACAGGATTTTCCAGTTTTGTATCAAGTTACCGAAATCATGTTATTCTCCTGAACGAATCTCCTAAAAAAACAGGCTTTTTACTACAGTTCTCACAGTACAATACATATGTAAAACTATTATCTGCATTCAAGATGCCAGCATCACAGCATCAACAAAACCATGAGCTAAACTGTAACCATCTGGAAGGCTAACAGCTGAAGATGATGTCTCAAAAAAAGGATAACCACCTGTTTTTTATCCCAAGCCTCTAAAAAATATCTCTAAAAAACAGGTGGTTAAAAGATGGAGGGATGTCATTTTCTCTTGTAAGCACCAAAAAAAACCAAAACAAAACCAGCCCACACAGAAATAGGGAATTGAGTGAATAAAGGCATAATCTTCAGTAACCAAGTTGAAGCACATCTTTGTACCTCCCGACTGCACAAAAACACTACATGCTTAGGATAAAAACTGCATACATAAATAGAAAATTGCCACAAACTTCTTAAGAATCTTCTATCTAGGCTTAGTGCATAAAAGAAAACGCCTTTAACTCATGCCCTCAAATTTACTTCCCAAGTTACTGCATCATAGACTGCAGCTGTTGAACACAGGACTGAAATTCAAGTCACCACCTCTCTGTAAGTTTCATTTTCTAGCCTTTTTTTGATTCCAGAATGTTTAATTCTAAAACTCAAACTATGCAGAAATCAATCTCCAAAAAATGGTCACTATGCTTTCTTTCTTAAGAGTGGGGGAAAGGAAGGAACCCCCAAACTATTAGATTCAGCAGGTCTAAGTACATTCTCTATTGCATGAGAAGAAATCTGGATTAACTCATGACTTGCATAGGAGAGCAAAGAAATTGTGTGGTTCAACGAGCACAGCTTTCCTCAGCAGGGTACTCCAGGACTGTTACGTGAATCCACCAAGGCAAGCAAAGAGAACTGCGATGAAAATAGTTCATGATGAGACACAGCTTCCCAGAGCTGAACCAACAGACTCAAGATCAGGGACTTGGGTATTGGACTAGCTGGTTTTTTTCTTTTTTTTCCCCCCCCAAAAAAAATCATAGACAGGTGCAAATGAAACATAGGAAATAATTTTGCCAACAAACACCGTCTTTTAAGACTTGTCCTAATGTAGTGTTTTTATGCATACCACAGAGTAAAATCAGCTGTGCAGTCTTAAGGGGGTAGAAACTGAGGCACAAGCTCACAAAGGACAATCTTCTACTTTTTTTTTTTGTAATTGCTTTTATATTAGCTTACATCTTAATTCTAGCAAGGCAGGAAAATTTAAGGTACTGGTAGGGCCTAACACTTAAGCTCTGATTGTTCAGCCTCTAAAACAAAGCTTAAAGATCTCTACTTGGCAGCTCACAGCTACAAAAGAGAACAGATAGAGCTAGTCTGACCTACTGACAAAACTAAAATTTGAGTCATCTGACCAAAAGTTAACATATTTAAAAGCCATAAACACCAAACATAATTTGCTGCAACTCAACTTTGAGAATAATTCAAATTGATTTTTTTTCCTCTAAAAAACACAGCAAACCAAATTATGTCTAGGTTACTGTATTTATAAATTTGTCATCCACAGTACTACAGAAAACCATGAATGTGGCAGACACTGGGAAATTAATGAAGCACCTTTTACAACAGTACATCGGGACTGTGAGTCCCAGTAACAAGACCTGTGACTCCTCAGCAGAGCTTTCAAATTTACTGGTAAGTTAATACAAGAGAGAGGATGAGAGTCTTCCACTGGAGAATTTTAACTCTTGCTTAAACTGCTCCATCACCAGAGGAGGATAAAATGGCCCTGCTTTGCCTAAGGGTCCCTCTAGGACTCTCACCACCAGCAAAGAAAACACAGAATCACAGAATTATTAATATTGAAAAAGTCCTCTAAGATCATCTAGCCAAGCCATCAACCCAACACTACCATGATCAATAAACTATGTCCTCAAGTGTCACATCTACACCTTTTTTGAACGTCTCCAGGGATGGCGACTTCACCACATCCCTCGGCAGCCTGTTCCAGGGCCTCACCACTCCTTCAGTAACGAAATTTCTCCTAATACCTAGTCTAAACCTTCTCTGGTGCAACCTGAGGTCATTTCTTGTCCTATTGCTGTGTTAAAGTCACCAAGACCCTAATACCTACAGGAAAGAAAAAAAAACAAACACAAAAACACGAAACCCCACACACTGTCCCTTTTCAACCTCTACAAAGTTCCTGGCCCACAAGCCAAGAAGCAACGAGGCGGCAGGATTCGAGGGCTTTCTCTCCCCTTACTCTGTGAAGTCGACGGGTGAGTCTCCAGCAGGGCCGGTCCTGCCCAGGCTCTCAGCGAGCCGCCCC